CTCTCTCTCTCTCTCTCTCTCTCTCTCTCTCTCTCTACCCTGGATCATTACCCTGGATACATCCACTCAGGCTGCTTACACCTCAGTGGCTATGGTGGCCGTGCTCCTGCTCTACGTGTAGTCTAGCTATGGAGTATCTCTCACGCGCCCTCTTCTTCTTCAGGCGCACAGTGCCCAAGTTGCCTTAACGCACAAGCAGCAGCAGCGCTTCCGCATCTCGCAACTGAAGAAGTGATGAGCCACTGCACTGTAGCAACTAAATATAGGACTTCGCTTTGCTGGGCTTGGCTTGGCTTGGCCTGCTTCAGACCGGTACCAGTCGGCTGCGGCATGCCTGCTGCAAACATTTTGTCGGCCCGGTAGCTTCCGGACTTTCCTGGGACATGCTGCAAAATTGGACTTGGGACTGTCGGACTGGACTGGGCGCTTCTGGACCCACCCCGTCGGGTAGTGGACGGACTCCGACCGACCTACGACTCTTCGGTACCAACACCTACCGACCTACGACGCTTCGGCCTCTAGACCATACGGCCTACCCTATGGGACAACCCTGGGACTTGGGACTTGTCGGGACCTTGGGACTGGGACTGGGTATCTGCAGCGTGAATCCTTTCAATGCGGCAGTCTGCATTGGCAACTCATTGGCGATTTCTGCATGTGCTCTGGTCTTTGACTGGAAGTGTTCCTGGTTGCTTCATCACATAGTTTTAGGCTAGTATAGGTTCTGAAGTAGTGGTAGGCTGGGCGATGTACAAGAAGGGCGACATTGGATACAATGTGGATGGTGGCGAGAAAGATGCCGACATTGACATATGAGTTTATTGTATTGCTCTTATGTGGCTTGTATCTTGCTGCATTGCGCTTTCTGCTTGGGGCACAACTATCTGGTCTTCAATGTGATGTTGCAGTTTGGTTTTCTGTCTATCGCTCTTGCTCATTTTCCTTGCAAAGGGTACTACCATTAATTTTTTTTGGGGTAACTTCAGTAGAGCCACAAAAACGAGTAATAATTGCACTACGGGGCAAGATACAGTTTGCAATTGCCCTTCGGGCACCATACCTGGCCAGAAAGCTGGGTTGTATACATTGACCGAACTGCAATTCGAAACTGTATCTTGGCCCATAGTGCAATTATAATTTTATAACTCGTTTTCGTGACTCCTTTTTTTTTTTTTTTTTTTTGGACCATTTCTCGATTTATGCGTGTCATCCTTTTTTTTTTTTTTTTTTTTTTTTTTTTAAAGAAACAACCCGAGCAGCTGCTAGGGGTACTGAATCTACTGATATGATCAGACGCCACTAGCAGTGCCGGGATGGCTCCATCTATTGGTGGGGAGCAACACCTGCTGGAAATCGGGTCCAGCGTCCCTGTAAAGTACATTTAAAATGCAATTATGCAGTTTGATGTGAATCGTGTCAGGTACGAGAAGAATAAGCTCGTCAAAGGTTAGTAAGCCTGTAATCTGTACTAACTATTGATTGCAATGTAGTTTACAGTGTGAACCCTGTCATCTATGAAAACAATCAAATTGTGGAAGGTTTAGTATGCATGTGGGGGAGGTGGGCTGTAATCGGCTCAGCATCCTGTCAATCCTACTGGGTCACTGTGCAGTTACTTTGTACACTGTACTATCTATCAGTTGTAATGTAGTTTACAATAAGCTGTTTGTCTGTTTGTCTGTCGTTCTGCATTAGTAAGCTTGCTGCTATTTGTGCCTGTCAATCCTAATGGATCACTGTGCAGTTACTATGTACACTGATCGGGCGGCTCCATCTATTGGTGGGGAGCTGCACCAGCTGGAAACCGGGTCCAGCGTCCCGTTGATATATCTTGTAATTCAGCAATTGTTGGTCGTTGTTTCCTGGGGCTGTGGTTATTTGTCTTGCTGGACCAGGACTCCATCGTCCCATGGAGCTTGCGCAGGGGCCATGCTAATCTTCTCTGTATCGTTCCAATTTTAACGGATGTCCCCAAGGACTCATTTTCGTGACTGCCGCGTAGTTTCCCCTTTGTTTTTCTTTTTTGAAAGGGTGACGGCCTTGGGATGTCATTGTGGAACTGGCCGGTGCCAGGTAATTCAAGAAATTCATTCAACTAGGTCCATGTAGATTCAAGCTTACGCCTGTATTTCAACAGTTCATTGGTGTACGGACTGAGATAGATGTATCGTTTACCCCTATGATTTACCTGTCTCTGTGTGGCGGTGTTTGCTTCTGTTTATCTGTCGTTCGTCCTGTTTGAGAACTCTGTTTGGGTTGTCTTGATTTCAATTTTGAATTTGTATTATGTGGAACAGATCTTTGCCCATTTCATGTTCGCGGCCACGTGTGCCTCTGCGGGAGTGGCATCGCAAATCTACAAGGATGGGACGTGCAAGAAAGGTAACTATTTCCGGCTAGGGATCGACAACTTCTGTCAGAAAACGCAGGCGTCGACGGCCATGGGCTTCTTTGCGACGTTCGCCATGTTCGCCACCCATTGGTGGTTCATCACGGCCACACATAAGCGATTCTGAGACCAGCTGCCGGAACAAAAGAGCCTGACCCAATGCCCATAACTGTTGCCACTCGTCAATCAGGGCTTTGGAGATGTGGACTCAAAACCTGCAACCTTCTGTGACCTTCTCTGCACCTTTGAAAAGAGTTGGAAAGTCTCGCAACTCTGCGGCTGCATGAGAGGCGCCGCTGCACTTGGAAGCACGGACACATAATTTAGCATCATGATAGCGTTCTGTCACTCCGCTTGTGCAGGTGAAAGAGCCGCCCTTTTCAATTCCATGAGCGGCTTTCGTTGACTTCTGGCTTACGAGGAGTCCCATTTATTAAGGATCATTATCTACCTCCAGAAGGGGCTGCCCTTGACTCCTGGACTGACATTTATTTACCTCCTAAGGGGCTGTCTCTGACTTCTAGTATGACCTCTTTGAAGCCAAGTCATGCTTATTTACCTCAGTAAGGGACCCCCTTGACTCCTTGAGTAGGCTAAGTAGAGGAGAGGAGTCCCCGAATGACCTTGTAGAGTTCTCTGTGGGACCTTTCTCAACCTCTCAGGCACCCTTTTTATTGAGTCATGAAGAAGGCCTTCGTTGACTATGTGCTTGGATGAACCATCTCTCGTTCACTTCTTTGCCCACGCGGTGGCAGCTTTTGCTAGGCTCCTTCAGCCAGCAGTTGGGTGACTGATTTTCTTACCTTCAGAATTCTCTATCGTCTTGTAGTGGTGAGTGACCTCTGTCCAAAAACCTTCTCTTTCTATTGTGTTTACTTTTGTTTTTCTACGACTGCGTTATCTTGTAGTGCAGTTAACCACTGGTTAGTGGTTACCCCTCTTCTTTCTCTGTGTGGGGCCTGTGGGCCTTACTTGGGTGGCTGTCCTTCTTTGACTTTGCACGAGGGGACTTGTTGAAGTTGATGAAACATAGCAAAACCATGTTGGGTTGGGTTGGGTGAAGTCCGTCAGGACCAATCAGGTTGCTTGTTTTGAACATTTTCTTTTCTTTCCTTTTTTTTGGGGACAAATGCTCCAAAAGCCTCCAATTTATTTGTGGGGAGCAGCACGTGCTGGGAGCCGGGCCCATATAGACTGTTTGTTTTGAACCTACAGTGGGACCAAGCAACTTTGAGTGATTTTAGATTGCATCCGAGGTTTCAGCTGGAATGCAGGTGACGAGAGTTAACGGCACAGAGGATTTCAGGCCCTTAAGTGGCAAGTGCCACCTTATCCATCACCCTGGAGGGCTTTCTATCAGGTTCTGGTTGGCCTCAAGGACATATTCTGCAGCTGACACCGGGGGGTCCTTACACCCCTTCTACATCGCATTTGAGGCCTCAGCTGTAACGCTGATGATGAGACGTACAGTACAGAGGATTTCAGGCGCCTAAGCGGCAAGTGCTACCCTATCCATCACCCTGAAGGGCTTTCTATCAGGTTCTGGGTGCCCTCAGCTACATATTTCTGTAGCTGATATGGGTGGGTCCCCCCATTAGATTTAGAGTGAGTCTGAGTGACCCCTCAGAAGACCTTGATATTAGAAGCATTTATTCACCCCATGTGGCTAAATGGTATACATATGTAACTGCCAGTGAAGAGATCTCGAGTTCAAATCCAGATGGAATTGACTGAGTATGATAGCAAGACGTCAGAAGCACTTGCAATGGGATCCACCTTGGGATTCCGTAGAGAACAGAGTTGAGTGAGCTTAACTCCCGACGGTATTGGTTGTAATTGGCACTAATTGCTAGCCAGGAGATCTTTGAGCTCAAATCCTGACGGAACCGTATGAGTATTTTTTCCAAGACATCTGAAGCACTTGCACGGGGATCGACCTTGGGATTCCATAGAGAACAGAGTTAACAGAGCTTAACTCCTGATGGGATCAGTTTTAGCTGCTAGTCAAGAGATCTTGAGCTCAAATCCTGATGGAGTCGGATGAGTACGATAGCAAGACACCTGAAGAACTTGCATGGTATCCACCTTGGGATTCCACAGAGGATAGAGTTAACTGAACTTAACTCAGGTGCGATTTGACACAGTTGTCTATGTATCCGAAATACGGAAAGGGGATCGGGAACAAAGTTAACTCAAGTCGGGTGTGATTTAACCATGGTTGACGAGTACCGAAAGTGGCAGGGAGTTCTGGAAACTGTAAGGTGACTCAGGTCAGACTATCTCGAGCGTCTGTTGGATATAGAGGTCGTATCAACTACCACACCAGATTTGTTTTTGAGAGTCTTAAAGCGTACTCCTATTCACACGAGGACGTTTTATGGACGTAATTGCGGTCATATACATCCAGCGCTGGCCGCAAATGCGATCAGATACATTTATGATAGAGCTAGTGCGAGTACGCATTAACTGATAACAAACTGTGTTCTTGAATCGAACTTCAAATCTTGACTTCATACGAGTATAGATTTGCGTTTGAATTTGAATGTTAATTTGAAGTTGGATTTGGATTTGGATTTGAATTTGAAGTTGAATGTTCAATGTTAATTTGAATGTTAATTTGAATTTGAATTTGGGTTTGGAAATGAACATAAAAGTTGAGTCGAGCTTGTGTACCACTGTCTATCTGCCTTCGCTCCTTTTTTTATTTTATTATCTTCCTTTGTTTAAGTTCATCTCTGACAACAAGGTTTGTTATAGCGTGTTCTCTTGACAACCACCACTTAGTTAATTAAACTTAATTTTGAGATATTCTTTGTTTAATTGCATGGAAATGAAATTTGATTTCTTTGGCTATTTGTATAGAGAGGGAACACCGTTTGCTGGAAGTTATTCCCCCTCTGTCTGCCTCCGGGGAAGGAGAGAGAGAGGGATAGAAAGAGAGAGAATCACAGACTGGAGGGAGGGAGAGAGAGAGAGAGAGAGAGAGAGAGAGAGAGAGAGAGAGAGAGAGAGAGAGAGAGAGAGAGAGAGAGAGAAAGCGAAGTGCTTTCAGCGGAGGTGGTTCAACACCCGTAAAATGACTGTGAATCTAGTGTGAAAGGTAAATTTAAAATTTTTAATTTCGTGGCAGTCTGAACATTTTTATCCGCTCTCCCCTTCCCAGGCGTCATTGTGTTTCAGCTGTTTTTATGCAATTTATCAATGACATCTGCGTATTGCCTGCTGCGCCTGCCAAATGCCTGGCAAATGCCTGTCCAACCGTTGTGGTCCCTCAGTGTGACAAGGAGGGGTCCTCCTTCAATAGCATACAGGTGACCAGATCCCGAGCTTGAGAGAACTGACTGTGTGACAGTCTACTCGGCTCATAATAACGAGGCTGGGTGGAGGTTGGTGGAATGGGAGGGTAGCCTGCCTACATGAATAGAGGCTCAACCATAGTTCATAGCAAAGAGAAGAGACTACCGGTTGGGTGACTGGGTTCCCTTAGGAGTAGCAGTGCACAAAGGATAGAGTGTCACTAGCACAACCCAGACTATCAGGTAGGCAAATGACTTAAGGTGCAGAGTTGCTCTAATTGTCAATTGTCCCTCGTTTATGGGTGGGTCCTGCAGCCTGTAGTCATCATGGTCACATGGCTATTCAATCAAACTGATACGATGTTCAGGGATGCTGGACCCGATTTCCAGCAGGTCCTGCTCCCCTCCAATAGATAGGGCCATCATAGGGGCCCCGAGAGTGCGAGTGGTGCCTGCTTGTATCAGCACCCCTACCATCAACTCGGGCCGTTCAAACCCCCCTCCCAAAAAAAAAAAAAAAAAAAAAAAAAAGTTTTTTGAACTTTTATCGGGTAAAGCGAATGATTAGAGGCCTCCGTTGTGAAACTCCCTCGGCCTATTCTCAAACGTCGACGGGTAGTGAGCTGGCGACAGTCAAGGAAGGAACATCTGACGGACGTTTACTCCTTCAGCATCAAGTAACTTCTTTTGTTTATACGAACGAAGAAAAACAACATCTTCCCTTTTGACGCCTTGTCAGATTTTTCCTCCTACAACATCAACAGCTTGGACTTAACCCCAAAAGGAAATGCTTATTTGTTCCCATAAAAAAATTGACACCCTGATTAGAATGAACATTTCCTCTTTGGTGGGTGGAGACCTTAACTTCACTCGAGACAGTGGTTATCTTATGATAGTCAAACAAGGAAGCCTTGGCAGATTTTCCGTCCTTGAAATGAAACAAGTTGGGTGTAGCCCTTCATCAATTTCCATCCTTGACCATCAACAGACTGGGTTTACCCCTACCATGAATTTCCCTCCTTGAGCGTCAACAGACTGGGTCTACCCAGTAACTTTTCTGCATATAAATTTATTTGAAACAAAGCTTGTTGCATTCAAACAAAAAAGAAGACAAGGAGCATCCCTCTCAACATATGTGTTAAGCCAGCAGTACACCGGGGCCTGGAAGCGCTGCACTGCACGCCAAACTTTTCCAAACTGCCAGCAGTGCACTTTTCCTTTTTGTGCCGCCGCCTCCAGCCATTGAGGTCCGGTAGACCTGAGGCGCAAAATTTTCGGGTTAGGCGACAAGCACATCCCCATGAGGTGGGGACTGTGTACATGCGGTTTGAGGTGGCACCCTCCAGAGTCCAGACCTATATATATGTGAATCTTGCCACATATGTGCAGGGAAGAGTGTATGGGTCTCACTCCACTACTGTCCACTGTACAAAAACGGACAGTCGTACTTCACTCCACTTACTGTCCACTGTACATGTGCAAAATGGCTTGGACAGTTTTTAGAAACCCTGTCGAAAATCTACTGTCCGTGAATGTACAGCTCCCAGCCTGCAAAATTCGTTACGCGGAAAGTCCTTCCAAGGGACTCACCGTGAGGACCCGAATTTGGAGTGCACCTGGAGTTTGGGCGGACAAAACCCTATGGACGTCCTGTCTTGTAGTTCTATCACTGTGTCTGGTAGTGAAGCCACGAATTTGAGAGGTGGACAGCGGACAGTAAGTGCAGCGATGCCGCGTTTTCCAGATTTTGAACTCTCTGACTGCTGTCCGTGAACTGTCCAGAAATTTGTACAGCGGACAGTAGTGGGGTGAGACCCTATATAATACTATACTGTCCAACTTGGTTGACAACTTGGCAGAATATGTGGTTCATCCTCCCCCTCCTGGGCCCTCTATTTCTTTTGTTGGTTCCGTGGCTGGCTCATTTCCAATCCTTGGCTCAAGTTTGTTCAACTTGTTGTCTTGAATAATACCAAGGTATGAAAATCGGTGACTCGTCTTCGTCCTACTGCGTTCACCCGGATACAGTGTACGGTCACTATTGCTGTACCTAGAATCAAATTTGTCCCACATACAGCTATAATGACCGTATGTTGTATTCGGGTGAGTACCGTAGTGCTGTCCCTGTCAGTGACCTTGGCTTGGCATCCATATCTTCTGCTCCGTGCTTCTTTTTTTTTTTTTTTTTTTTTTTTTTTTCAGACTAACCAATTCAATTACCTGTCCAATCTGGACAGGACGGCCTGTCAGGCCTTTTTTATTATCATTAGAGTATTACGGGGAACCCCGTAGCAGCCACATCCCTGGTCAAGCCTCCAACGAGGAAACATGTGGCACCTTCTGCTTTGTAATGTGAAGGTGTGGCCAATGTCACACAGCATTTAAGGCTTAAACGTCACCACCTTTCCCAGGAAGTTTTCAGAGATGCGGCTTGTTACCTGCTGTAACTTTCGGGGCCGGGCTACCATTGATAAATTTCATCGGCGGCCGTTGTTGCAATTCAGGCCTCTGAAAGTCGCAGTGAGGGGCCCATGGCCGATGTGTGGAAGAGGTACTGGTGGTTTAAATCACCACTCAAGCCGGCCCTGCACTGTTTGTTTTTCTTGTCTACTACCGTAGTTCTGGGCCAAAATCTACAGTGCCCAGGCACGGTAGAGGTTTGGTGCGGAAGTTTACCACAGTTGCTTTTCCTCAGGGCGGCACTGTGGACTTTATGCTCGGGAACATGCAACTTTAAAAAAAAAAAAAAAAGAAGGCCGACGGCCTTGAGATATATATCGTCAAATAGAACTGCCCGGTAAACCGTAGGCAGAGAGGGAGAAGAGGACAACAAACGAGGGGCTGTGACAAACTGTTTCTATCATCATTGATCTGATCTGCCCCAGGTAATTCATAATTATTTTATTCTGCTCATTTGATTGTATGTGGATTCGAACTTGGGTCTGTATTTCAAGTTTCAACAGTTCATGTGTGTACCAACTGAGCTTGGCTCATTGGTGAAATGCAACTTTTGGTTTGTCAAAACAGGTCCAGATCGAGTGGTGGTTTAAGACTGATGGCTGGGTCTGCAGATGAGCCTTGAGCTGGGGCCAGGGGCAGGCAACAACTATGCCTTGGCTCGGCGAAAGCATGTGGTGTAGTGCCATGTGGCCGTTGGTGGAGAACTTGGGGACGTGAAACAATGCACCATGAGGTGCCAAAGAGGTATAGATAACGAGGTTGAGCAGGAAAAAGGTTAGGACTTGAAAGGTCAGGAGGGAAGGAGCTGAGGGATGAGGAGGAGGGCGCAGATGGAGAAGGGAGGAAGTAGGGAAAAAAAAAAAAGCGAAAGGAAGAAGAAAGGAGGAGGGGGCAGGAGGTATTAATCTTTCTCTTCCTCCCAAATTCCACCTTCCTGCTTTGTCATCCTTCATACGTATCTGATCGCCCATTCCTCTGTACGGTTTCATGTCCCCAAGTATCATGAAGCCGGGAAGACTATTCATTGCACACTTCAAGAAGTGGCCAGCAGCAAACGGCCCTGCAATCTCGCCAGCGGCTGAAAAGAGAAAGACGCTGTGTTCAGTCACGAGGATGTATGCGCCCTGAGCCCCTCGCTTGTATCTGGTGCCCATTTACCAGGACCAGCAATCCTTCCATTAGAGGTACCAGGCAGTACTCCCCAAACCGTCCAGAGTTGGACCTACAGGAGTCCAAGAAGTCCCTATGTTCCACACGTCTCATCACATGCGGTACTGCCAGAGAATCCGCTCCCCTTCCGTCAGTCCTACTCGACAGAATGCGTCCAAGAACCGGGATCTTCGCCAGCAGCTGAAAAGAGAAAGACACTGTCTGGAATCACGAGGATGTATGCACCCTGAGGCCCCCGCTCTGTATCCGGTGCCCATTTACCAGGACCAGCAAT